GAATGTCTGTAATTTTAATATTATGTTCTTTAAATATAAGAAAAACTAAAAATGAATTTGCCAGACATTAATTCGATTGTTAAGTCTTGAATTAAAATGAAAAAGTATTGCAGTATGATGAAGCATTGCATTTTAAGAAGCGCAATTTTTAATTTTTCTTTTTTAAATAAGTCTACCTGACATACTTTTTTTATTGCCAGACATTTTTCACATTGCTAACTATGTGCCAGACGCGATTTTAAGTTTTTTTTTTATATAAATTTCAAAGTATTTTAGAATGTCTGTAATTTTAATATTATGTTATTTAAATATAAGAAACACTAAAATGAATTTGCCAGACATTAATTCGATTGTTAAGCCTTGAATTAAAATGAAAAAGTATTGCAGTATGATGAAGCATTGCATTTGAGGAAGCGTTATTTTTAATTTTTTTTTGTTCAGAATCAGAACAGCGTAAAACAACTTCTGCGTCAAAATCGATTTGTCAAATATGAAAAATAATCCTAGAATCAGCTTCTTCGTGTTCTTCACACGATAATGATTCTTCAATAGTTTTAATTACTTAGTTATATATCACTTTGTATGAATAACATTTATTAAAACTTACGTAAATGTTTTTATTACCAATGAAAGGCATCATACTGCCATACTTTTCATGACTTTTTCATTTTAATTCAAGGCTTAACAATCGAATTAATGTCTGGCAAATTCTTTTTTAGATTTTCTTATATTTAAATAACATAATATTAAAATTACAGACATTCTAAAATACTTTGAAATTTTTATAAAAAAAAAATTAAAATCGCATCTGGCACATAGTTAGCAATGTGAAAAATGTCTGGCAATAAAAAAGTATGTCAGGTAGACTTATTTAAAAGGAAAAATTAAAATTTGCGCTTCTTAAAATGCAATGCTTCATCATACTGCAATACTTTTTCATTTTAATTCAAGACTTAACAACCGAATTAATGTCTGGCAAATTCATTTTTAGATTTTCTTATATTTAAATAACATAATATTAAAATTACAGACATTCTAAAATACTTTGAAATTTTTATAAAAAAAAAATTAAAATCGCATCTGGCACATAGTTAGCAATGTGAAAAATGTCTGGCAATAAAAAAAGTATGTCAGGTAGACTTATTTAAAAAGGAAAAATTAAAATTTGCGCTTCTTAAAATGCAATGCTTCATCATACTGCAATACTTTTTCATTTTAATTCAAGACTTAACAACCGAATTAATGTCTGGCAAATTCATTTTTAGTTTTTCTTATATTTAAAGAACATAATATTAAAATTACAGACATTCTAAAATACTTTGAAATGTTTATAAAAAAAAAACTTAAAATCGCGTCTGGCACATAGTTAGCAATGTGAAAAATGTCTGGCAATAAAAAAGTATGTCAGGTAGACTTATTTAAAAACGAAAAATTAAAAATTACGCTTCTTAAAATGCTTTTAAAATCCAGGATATTACCTGGACAGATAGGATGCGCACTAAAGAACGCAACCGCTACCGCCAGCCAGATTGCCAAGACTCTAACCGAAAGTGCAAGAAGGAAGACATATCACAAAATCAGCTGACCTAAAATTCTTTCTCGAAAACGTTGCTACCTCCCGTACTAATAGTGGACAAACAACTTGACGCGTAATTTATATATATTAAGATTAAGTGCGACCCTTTTAATCAGCGACACTTAATTAAAATGATAATCAGCTCGTCAAATAAATTATTCATTACGAATATTGCTACTCAGTGCGCATCAGTAACAATTAATATGGGTTTAATTAATATTAGTAATCAACTTGATTGCACTGTTTAATCGTAGATGAAATTACATTACTGTGCTTACGTGTGCCTGAAGTTACTTTATTGATAATGAAGAAGTCTTTCATCTCTGTCTGTCAAATTGTGATGAAAAAAGACAGGTACTTTAATAAAAACAAAGCACTATTACGTGTAAAAGAAGACGAAACGTTTTAACTTTTTAACAATAGCTGGAAAAAACTGAACGCCTGAAATAAAATTGTTTCTTTTTGTAAGATTTTGCTATTGTTTTTTTAGCAGGAGCAATTAAACATTAGTTCTTATAATGAATAAATTGTGATTAGACAACAATTACATGGACCACCTGAATGGTCATTAATTTTCATTAAGCAACACAATAGCTCTTTGTTGCTCAGTATTTCTTTTCAGAGTAATTGGGTTATAGAGGGATATCAATGCATAGATAAAGGCGCAATTTTTTGTGAAAGTATACATTTTTAATAAATCAAAAGTAAAAATCCCATCGTTATTGTTACTAATATCGTAAATTGTAGTGTATTTTTAGATATATATCTATTATTAAATTATGTAAATTGACGGAATAAAATGATTATTAGTGAAATTCGTTCTTTTGCGAACTAGCGAACTGTAGATCGACTCCCAGTGGAGTCTTACTTGAGAGATACAACCTTTAAATGTTTAAAGATAGAGTATGCTCTTCCCTCAAAGGCCGGCAACGCACCACATAAAATGGGTGTCCATGGTCTGCGATGACCGCCCTTTTTGGGTGTCCCGTCCCGTAGGCTCATTTGCCCCCATATACAATAAAAACCTACATCTCTTTCCTTTCTTTATTGTTTATTTGCTTTTTGTTAGTTTTCAAATATTTTCATGATAGTGTTTTTTTGAGTTATGCAAGACATTTAAAAAAGCTTCTTTATCGTATTATAGGCCTGCTCAAAAGCATGTCAAACGTTGAGTTACATAAAGGAAAAATATTCGCGTAATTTTTATCTCTGTGTTGTTCTACCCTGTTGCTTATCATGAGTGTGGACGTGATAGACACTCTTTGTTTCCGACAGCTATTTTACTGAACACCAAGTCCTTTTACCGATAAGAGCACGTCAGATATCAACTTTCTGCATCGTAAATTATGGAATTCAGATGAGAAAAATACGGAAATATTCGACTTTAAACAGGGATTCAAGTTAAATTCTTTGTAAGGTGTATGTTAAATCGGAAACCGAATGTTATTGGAACCTATTTATTTTAATTAAAAATTCATTAAAAATGATTAACAATAATAAGGGACAGATTTAAATGTTAATATTCTTGGACAATTCGAGGGCTTTGTATATTTATTTGTTACTTTCATTTTCTCTTGATGTATTGTACTCGACTATGGATTTAGACGTCAAATTGTTCTGACCAACATAGTTGATTAATAGCAAACACAGTATGTATATCTATGCTAATATTATAAAGAGGAAACATTTGTATGTAAGTATGTTTGTAACGAATTGGCTCAAAAAGTACTGGAGCGATTTTAAAAATTCTTTCACCATTTGAATGCTATATTATTACTGATTAATATAGGCTATTTTAATTGCTAGAAAAAAATAACTATTCCTACCAAAAATACAATAATGTCACCCAAGATGTAAAAAAAATGCCTATAAAGTATCTTTCATTATATATATCATATATTCTATTTTCTTATTTTCTTCAATTTCTATACCTTTTTTTATAGGCTGGTAGGTGATCAACCTTTCCGAAATTAATTTGTTAAGATATGTCAGATTCCTCACGATGTTTGCTATTACATGAGAAAGTGTTCCTACCTCTACCTTTAGTACACCTAATCCGCTGTTTTAGTGGTATTTTGTTTTTCAAAATTTCTGGTATTTTTATTTGATCTATACATTTATATACAGTGGATTGCGCAGATAACGAAGATGAAGTTTCCTCTCTTATTTCGTCGTTATATCTCGAAGTCGTTACAGGCAATGGTTGAAAATTATAAAGAGTATTTTTAAAAAAATGGTTAAAGGAATTAAAAAAAAGAGGATGGGTAGAGTATTTTAAATTTACAAAAATAAATAAAAGGGGAAAATAGGGTTTTTTTTTTTTTTTTTTTGTTTTTTTTTTTTTTTCTTAAACAAAAGATAAACACGTATATGTGTACAGAAAGGTATCCACAGTTGCTAACCATCTGAGTGAATTTTCACAAAAGTTGTTGTTGAAATATTTGTGAAAGAAATAAATCTTTTTGTCTTTGGCGGCTGACTCCGGTCGCAATATCTGCATGGGATTTCTAGGAATTTGTTACAAATGATTCATTAAAAATAGTCGCTACACCCGAACTCAGCGTAACATCCAAAGACGCTATAGCCACATTAAATTTGTACTAAAATATGCTTTAAATTCAAGGGACTCAGATTTAACGTCGTTATAGCTAAATGGTCGCTACAACTAAGGTCGTAATAAATGAAATCCACAGTATTTTAATTGTATTTTTGAATTCTGTAACATTTAGATGTACCTAAATACATTTACTTAAAAGAGTTTGTAACATATACCGTAGATGTAGATTATGTATCATGTGGTTAACTTGAATAAAAAAAAGTGCGTGCGTACAAAGTACACATGTCAGAAGTGAAACTTCTTTGGCAAACAAAATTTTAAGTCTTATTCATATTTATACAAATCTAAAACTTTAGAATTCCGAGACTTAGAGGGAGAAAAAAAGGAAGATATGTTAGGAGATTAACGAATTTAACTGTCATTAAAATATTAAAAGTGTCGAAAATTCATAAAAATTATATATTTTTTAAATTTTTTTCTTCGATAATATAAACCCGTGGCATTTTAAATTACAATTCGTCATTTGAGATTTCAATAAATTATTTTGCATAAAATATAAAATACTTATATTTCATAAATTCTATCTATGAAATTTTAAATTTTAAAAATAGAATTTCTATAAGGTAATTCGCCCTCACTCTCTCTCAATGGGTCTCAATCGCTCTATCCCTTTTCTTCGACAAAAACGCTGCACATCTTCGTGACGCTAATATTATTATTATTGCGTTTCATCCGTAAAAAATTCTTCTCATGCGGCTAAAGAAGTTTCACTTCAATAAAGTATTCAATGCGTCACGCTTAAGCCTACACGGCTCTCAACATATATTATACTGTCTTTGGTGTATTTTAAAATTTTCATTGTTCCAGGAGAATCAATGTATGAGGATTAAGATCCTGGGTGATTGCTATTACTGCGTTTCGGGACTTCCGGTGTCGAGGCCTAACCATGCCTACAACTGTGTCAATATGGGCTTGCTAATGATTGACGCTATACGGTATTTGTCTGTTATTTCTGTATTAGGTCACTTAACTAAGTAAATATTTTGAAGAAAAACGCTTTTTACCGGATTAAAGTTATGTTTATTATTATAAATTTACAACTATTTGATATAATTTTAAATTTATCCGACGTTTCGCGTGCTTTACAGCGTGCGTGGTCACGGTGACTGAAGACAAAAGATGTTGAATGTCAAAAAGTATCACAGCTGCAGAGAAAGTTGCATTATCTGTGTTTATTTCCCCGGACTAAAAGATGGAGGGTTTTGGCAAAAATGGCTCACGGTGTCCTCTATTTTCGCGGATTGTTTTTCTTTTTGAGATTTTAATTTGGATATTATTGGATCCCAGGTGTTTGACAATTTTAGGCCGTCTTCTCTATTGAAAAATAACTTTAATCCGGTAAAAAGCGTTTTTCTTTAAATGTGTAAAGGTTATGTTAATCAAAGACAATACTAAGTAAATATTTTGATTAACCTTTTTGTAGATAGAACGTGAAAAATACGACACATTTTATTTTTTATTGCCTTCAAATGGGTCAAATTTGTCCTTTTTCGATGGAGACGTTTTTTAGTAGCAACACTTATGAAATGTCTGAATTCTACGGAATTAAAACTCAGGGTATAAATTGCTTGACGCTGTTAGATTTTTGAAACTTTTCTAGTATATTACAACATTACCTGTTTAAATTAAGGTTTTTATCTAAATTAAAGGACTTTTTTAATGATAATAAATAAATTATTGAGTTAGGGAGAGAAAGCTTGTTTAAAAGTAAATAAATATATATAATTACTTTATCTTTGTTTTTTAATAAATTTTAATGCGATTCATAGACTTATAGATTTTGTCAGTATTGTTTTTGCAATTAGTAGTGAGTTGATAAGTTATATCAAACCATAAACACCCAATTTAATAATAAAATACAGTATTAAAGATAAAATAATATATTTTGCTTAATTATTACTACCAGCAGGTCTCATCTGCGTATGGTAGTATATTTGTTTAAATATTTTGGATATAACTATACCCTAAGCAAATCAGGGATATCGTAGAAGAATTTTTGAAATAACTTCTAGTTCATTAATTTTCATCTTTTTAATATTATATACATACCTTAAATATATAAAAATAAACAAGTGGTACCTTATAGGTTTTCATTATATTTTTTTCTGTAATAGGCAAGTAGTTGATTAGCCCCGACGATTTGGGCCTAAACCATGCTGGTTGCCTCACTATGTTTTCCATTACCGTACTAGCGAGTATTAAATGAGCACATATATTTTTTCAGCTTCGTCCGTGAAGCCACAGGCTTCAATGTCGACATGCGAATCGGCATCCACACAGGTAATGTTCTGTGCGGCGTGCTCGGTCTCCGAAAATGGCAATTCGACGTCTGGAGCGATGATGTCACATTGGCAAATCATATGGAGTCTGGTGGGATCGCTGGGTGAGTTTATACAGATATTGTTAATATCGAAACTGCATATAATAATTATAGGATGGATATTGCTGAAGGCGTTTACAATTTTTTTTTCTACTAAGTATTATTACATTCCGTTTCTTTCGTCTTTTGCGACTGAGGCGCAAACTAGCTGCTGTGGTCTCTGGCAGAATGACCAGCGCTATTGAACATTCTGCTCCTCAGCATAATGCTGAGCCAGGGCCAAATACAGCCACATCACACAAGCATTACACACTTGAAACGAACCGAATGGGAAAAGGGTTTTTTTTTATACCTCTCATTATATATTTTTTTTTTTTTGTTATTGTTATTTTGTGTGTTTATGTGTGTGTGTTTTTGGTAGTAATAAATTATATGTCTATGTCTAAAGATGAATATTTCTTACAGTTTATTTCTTAATTACCGTTCTTAGTAAGTGTCCCTTCACTCTGTATAAGTTTTAAAACGTGTAGAGTACGTAAATTTGTATGAAACTTAGCTTTTACGTAAGTTTAACGCCAAATGGTTCTAGTCAGAATTTAGTCATAAGGAGGGTTTTTGGAAATATGTAACAAGTCTGTTGAGTGCTTCAGGTGATTATGTTGGTGTCAAAGGTGCAATTCCTGTGTGAACTTGTACCCATTTCAAACAAAACTAAATATTTTGTTTCATTTCTGAGCAATATTTTTTCTGAGCAATTTTCATATTTTCCTCTAGATTATAGAATGTTAAAGGAGTACGAAAATGAGCATTAATGTTATCAAAACGTTGCATACAAAAGGATATACTCGTATATGTGTCGGAAACATCGTCACTCCATCGATACGGACATCGTTTATTCGTCATGTGGGTAAATTGCGAGTACAAAAGACACTAATAATTATCGTACAACATTTGGTTTAGATTGATAACCATCAACGGTCCATTGACTCGATTATAACATTTACAGAAAATCCGAGTATTCCCTGACATTAAAGGCAAGGGCCCGGTCCTCGCAATTAAGCGATCCCTACCAGGCATCTATAAAACCTTATTTGAAGAGGTGTTGCAAAAAATAAAAATAGCTTCTGTGGGATATGAGTAAAACTTACTTCATTATTATCGACTTATATTAAAGTAAATTAATCAGTGGCGCTACAGTTACAGTTTAAGGAATTACATATTTTGACTCTGGCAAGACAATACATTTATGAGAATATTTTGTATGTGCAGAAAAATATAGATATTTTTAAAAAGAATAGTAGCTTCCATAATTATAGTACTCGTAATAAAGACAAAATTAGCGCACCAACCAGAAGGCTGCATAAAACGAGTAATTCTTTCCAAGGCAATTGTATACGTTTTTTCAATAAAATCCCTAGTGAGATACAAGTGTTGTCAATAAATAAATTTAAGTCGTACATTAAAGTAAAACTGCTTGCTAAGACCTATTATAATATAAATGAATATTTAAACGATCCTAGTGCTTGGATATATGTTGCTCCAGTATAAATAGGTAACACGACTGAATCTCTCGGCTGCATTTCCAGACTCTGGGGCGATCGTCAACATCCACGACTGTTTTAATGTAAAGTGGGAACAAACCGTGATCCATGTGGTATCAAATTATTTCAGTATTATTATTATTTTCTTATGTAGCCAAGTCCACATTTCAAGGATCGTCATGCTCGCTTAAATGTCATTGCTTGTGGCGGCGTCCATGCGTCGGGTTGTCTCTCTCCCTAAAATATGGCGAGGGGGCCGATGGCTGGCCATGCGTCATACTCGTGAACGGGTGCTACTTGTGGTGACTGGTCGTACTTGAATTCGTGTATGCGGTGATGTTAATTATTTCGACTATGTGTTTGCGTGTTGTTCCCACGAGAATGTAAGTGCGTGCTCCTATTTCACCATGCCTCCTGCTGATAGAGGACAAGTCTTTGTTTTTAATTTATGTTATTATTATTAATTACTTAAGATGTCATGTGGAACATGGTGTAATGGTTGCAGCTCCTTACAAACGTTGTGTAAAAAAAACATGGCGAATAAAAAGAGTGGCGGAGAGTTTATTGCCAGTTCTTCTCTTCCGTTCTACGCCCTTGATTTGAGAACTGGCAGTAAATGTAAAATTAGAAGCATTAATATGTATTTCTTTAATGACGAATCACAAGTGTACATTGTGTTACCTACGTGAATAAATGATTTTTGAATTTTGAATTTACAACCTTTTTACGTTTGGGTCTCAGATTTCTGTATCTGTTTCACGAACATCATTGTCAATCTAATAGGCAAGTACCAGCCTCACACACACGCCGTCGTTTGGGTCGCAAGCCGGTTTTCTCACGATGTTTTCCTTCACCGTTTGAGCGAATGTTAAATGCGCACATTGAAAGGAAGTCCATAGGTGCACTGCCGGGGATTGAACCTACGACCTCAGAGATGAGAATCGCACGCTGAAGCCACTAGACCAACACTGTTCATCGATTTTTATGAACAATATTAAACGCATATTTTTTCGTATCTTTAATTAAAATGTATGGTGTTACAGACGTGTTCATATAACAAAATCAACAATGCTGCAACTTGCCGGAAAATTCGAGGTGGAACCAGGAGATGGAGCATCCAGAGAAGGATACTTGGCTGACCACAAAGTGGAGACATATCTCATTGTACCTCCCAAGGTAATGTAGATTAACAGGTGAGCTGAAAAGTTTATAGGCTAACATAGATCTTTTAGATAGACCATTCATTCATCACTCAAAATAGGCTTTAGTTTCGGGGATTTCCTCTTCATCAGCGCAGCATTTCTGTCCGGCGAGCATTCTTTTGAGATCTGAGAACAGGAAAACATAGCTAAGGGGACAGATTTGTACAAAAAATCGGATTTATTACGATTGAAAAGCTTCAAACACTGCTCCACCACGTTGTGAGCTCACCGCGCGCTCACTTTGAACAGAGCTTTTGCATTTCCAAATATTTATCTAGGATATGTCCAACACGTCCCTTTGATATCCTTAGAGTCTCAGCTATCTTAATCAACATCACTTTTCGGTTATACAAAATTATGTGTACTTTTTTGACGTTTTCGTCGTAAAAATCATATTTACTTATTACTAGTAGCGCCATCTATGTGTCAGCCTAAGTTAAGGGTAAAGTTAAAGGCCTCCTACCCGTTTGCAAAAAAAGAATTCTATTAAAAAAGCCTAATTACTGTCGTGACAGCAGTATTACGAAATTACGCTTATCCAAAAAAAATTTTAGTGGCACCAATCGAAACTCAAAAAATACCAATCCCCTTTAAAAGCGCGAATGAATTTTTTAAGCGTTGAAAATTTCAAAATCTTAATAAATCTACTGCTAAACCTATTTATTATTTAAAGAAAAAACTTTTTAACCGGATTAAAGTTATGTATTATTATAAATTTACAATTATTTAACATAATTTTAAATTTATCCGACGTTTTGCGTGCTTTACAGCGTGCGTGGTCACGGTGACTGAAGACAAAAGGTGTTGGATGTCAAAAAGTATCACAGCTGTAGAGAAAGTTGCATTATCTGTTTTTATTTCCCCGGAGTTGGTATCGACTAAAAGATGGAGGGTTTTGGCAAAAATGGCTCACGGTGTCCCCTATTTTCGCGGATTGTTTTTCTTGAGGTTTTAATTTGGATATTATTGGATCCCAGGTGTTTGACAATTTTAGGCCGTCTTCTCTATTGAAATTGGGGTGGTTTTTTGATTTCAATGGCTTCGCGTACCAATCTTGGGAAGAATCTTTTTTCTTTCGCAAGTACTTTCGGTTGGTCAAAGCGTATGTAGTGATTAGGCCTATCTAGTATGTGTTCACAGACTGCTGATTTTGTTAGTCGTGTATGTCCTATAATAATACATAACTTTAATCCGGTTAAAAAGTTTTTTCTTTAAATGTGTAAAGGTTATGTCAATAAAAGACAATACTATTTATTATTTATCAATTCGCGTAAAACAAAGTATAAATTAAATGTTAAAACGTTAGTAAAATGTTTTCTTGCAATGTTCGTACAAATATTGTAACTTAGCTCGTTTGAGTTTGCTTCTGTGCACAGGTTTGTAGATTTTACGAAAGAATTATTGACTTCGCTAAGTTCACAAAAAAATTTCTTGGTTTTGGTTTACGCATAGATTACGTAACTCTTACCACGATTAATAAAAATTTTGGAACATACTACTGTGTTGCTATGTAGTAGCGGTTAAGAGTTTGGTTTATGTAACAGAAACTTCGTATGCGGTTTTCAATGGCTATCTATAATGTAACTAGTGGACCCCACAGACGTTGTCCTGCATGATATTTAAAGCGATTAGGATATTAAGCAAAGTATGAAAGTACCGACTGCAGTGCCATCTGCCGGGCTGATTTGTGAATCTAAACCATTCCCAGATCCCCTTGAACACACACAAAAAATTTCATCAAAATCGGTCCAGTCGTTTGAGAGGAGTTCAGTCACATACACACGCACAGAAGAAATATATATATTAAGATTTAAACAAGGAACTGCGATTTGTTTTCAGATTTTATGAAACAAGAATTGCAGAAAAACTACGGTTTCCACCACTAAGTATTATCATATTGTGAATATCATATAATCGATTTTTGTAGATAAAAATAAATTGAGTTCAGGACCGAATGGAATGAAAGCTGTCATAAACACAGACTATCAAGTAGAGAGCACTAATTCATCAGTGAGCTCCATTGTTACGATGTCATTAATCACACAATGACTCTACATTGTCTTTGTATATATCTACCTCGTTCACTATCACTATCAATGAAATTAATTAATTAATTCAGATCATGTTGGCTTGAGAGCAAATTTTGTAAAATATATTAATGAGGTATTTTGATGAAGAATTATTTTATGGAAGTAATAGTTAGTTTATCGTCGGATACGTTCTAAAAATACAAATCGTCAATCAAAGAAGAATCACTAATTCACAAACTTTTTTGTGCCTTAGCCATCTTATCCTCACCTTAGGCTTTCTAATATTCGTATGTTCCTTTTTTAACATTTTTTACATGAATAATAATTGAATACTTCACTTAAGAAACTTAAATGATTGGTTTTAGGAAGAAATTACTAGGATATTGTAAATGAAAACAGTTAGTAATGTTTTAAAACATATAATGAAAATTTTTAATTCAAATTCCAAATAAATTTAATAAATTGTTAAATAGCCTCCCTTTATAATAGAATTGCCCCCTGTGAAGCGTGGGTCCCAAAATTAATTCTAAAGTCACATTATATTAACTATAGAATAATTTATTTTACTACAATAGAGCAACAATTTTAAACCAAAATAAAACTTAGCATCTTTTAAATAGATTCATGCGGTTTTATTGTAAATATCAACTTAATTGTCCCTAATTATAATTTAAAAAAATTATATTAATCAACCTGGTATATTTAAGCGTTAGCGATACTATCCATTGTCTTGCATTCGACCTCCAGTTACACCAATGGATTTTTTGTGATTGTGACTTGCTTGAACGGTGAAAGAAAATATCGCAAGCAGTATGTATAAGCCCCACAAATCGTCAGGCACACACGGCTGATCATATTGACGAAAAAGAAAACATGATAGGCCTACAAATATAATTGTAATCAATAGAATTAGTGTTCAGGCAAATGCGAGTATGATGTACAAAGTAATAACGTATATGAGATTGTCAAAGGCTGTTGCGCGTCGATAGCTCAGGTAATTGGCAATGCATAGGTCCGATGTTACAATTCTACGCTCCAATGCACAAGCCAATACATATTACAAGTTGGTCAGTACAATTGTCTATTCAGCTGATTATTTGATATTCTATAAAGGAGTCTTTCCATATCTTGATAGTATTTTAATTATTAGCAATCCTAGTGCCGCCGGTTAATATCCTAGGGTAATTAAGTTACACAAATATAACATCAGATATTAGCTGTTAGTGTTAATAAATAAATATCTATTTTATTTATTTATTAACACTTCGTTGCATACAGAAATATAATACAATTGACATAATAAAATGAAAAGGAGGGCAACAATGGCAAAAAATGAAAAGGAGGGAACAGGCGGCCTTATTAGTTCCGAGCGATCTCTTCCAGGCAACCAATTTGGGTTGACGAGGAGAAATAAAAAATAAAGTAGATAAGGCAAGCGCAAGAAGTGCAAAAATACATAAGACATATAGTTATTTAGACAAAACTAACGGAATAAAATAAAGCAATTGAAACATTTAAACAGTGACAACATTAAAAAGAAAAAGTGCACATGAATCACGATAATTTTAGATCAGTTTCACATCTGTTAGTACGAAAGTAAGGACAAGATGTGGACAGGTAATGTTTGTGCAGTAGATACTATATTATGTCATAAATAAAAAATCATCACATTTTTTCAAACAAACGGGGGCAATCGGGCAGGAGGCTCATCTGACGTTAAGTGATACCGCCCATATACACTCACATTGCCAGAAGGCTCGCAATTGTGTTTCAGGCCTTTTAAGAATTGGTACGCTCTTTTCTTGAAGGACCCTAAGTGGAATTGGTTCGGAAATACTTCAGTGGGCAGCTGGTTCCACATAGTGGAAATGAAAATAAATTTTTAATAGAAAATATAAAATAATACAATTATCATTGCTACAATCTTACATTTTCCATAATTCCCTCAAACGACGGTATTATGAAAGAAAATATTATGATTCAGTTTACGTTGATTGCTCCCTTTGATTAGTTTTTCTTCAAATCCATCTCAAAATAATCTTGGCTTTAATAACAGTTGAAGATGTAATTTGATCCCTTGATTATTAACTTCAGGATAAAGTTTGGACACCTCTTTGAAGAGATTACGAATTTTTGCGTTAAATTAAACTTTTTCACTGTTTTAGTAACGAGGTTTATTTGCATAACGGCTAATAAGAGCGGTTATGGCGTTGTCTTTATAGAATAGGTAAAAAATATTTCAAATTCTGTGCTGCTTTTAGTTAGAGATTAACTCACCGTATTTAACTTTGTTTTACGTAAATTTGAAATGGTCGGAGCAGTGTGGTCCTAGTGCCTGTAGCGTGCGACTCTCATCCCTGAGGTAGAAGGTTCGATCCCCGGCTGTGCACCAATGGACTTTCTTTCTATGTGCGCATTTAATATTCGCTCGAACGGTGAAGGAAATCATCGTGAGGCTTGCCTTTGACATTAATAGTTGACGGCGTGTATCAGGCACAGGAACCTGTATGCTTATTAGATTGACAAATGATCTTGAAACAGATATAGAAATCTGAGGCCCAAACCTAAAAAAGTTGTAGCGCCAGTGATTTAGTTTTTATTTTATACTTTACACAATACACGATAGTGATTGTAACTTAAAAACTGAATTAGACATTTTCAAAAACATTAGATGCGAGAAGTTCTCAAAATCAAACTCAAAATAACTTTATTCATATAGGTAAACAAGTACACAATATATGAACGTAAGAAAAGAAGTTAAATTAATTGTAAATTTACATTTACTACCAGTTCGCTTACTTTAGTTCGCGTTCGTTAGGGCGTAGAGCGGGCAAGAAGAACTGGCAAGAAACTTTCCGCCACTCTTTTTAATCGCTACGTTTAGAGTCATTCAAATTGTTTGAACTGGAGCAAATCAATCCCAAGGATTAGGATCATTTAAATATTCGTCAAATTTATAAAAAGCTTTATTGATTAATTTACGTTTAACGAGGGCTTTGAATTTATTTAGTGATAATTCTCTATAGTCCATTGAAATGTTACATTTTTTAGGCCTTACCTTGCGTTTTTAGAGGACGCAATTTTATTTTTTAGAAGGGGGTAGTGTAAAGCTAAAAACAAGTTTGTGGGTCGCCACCCTTGTCCCAGGCCGCATTGGAAAAGGGGTCCAAAAACCACGTTTTTGGCTATATCTCCTAAACTATCCACGTACATAAAACTTTTAAAGACACATTTTGTAGCAAATCGCGTGCCTACAATTATGTATGTGTTACTTTTATCATAAATCCAAAATTCAAAAAGTTATAAATAAAAAAGTGAAAATATTTCCTATTTCTAAAGTTGACTAGGTGCGTCAAGCTCATGACAAGCCGATCAAACAGCAGTTTTACCTTACTTTTAAGATCTCTCGTTTATTTTAAACAAATTTTCCAAATATTTTTTTATTCCTACAATTTTACTTATTGGTATTCCTAGTAGGCTATTCACAGACAACTTGCTGATATGGTAATCTTCGACATAATAATTATCAATCAGTTATTAGAATGGTAGTAGCTATCATTTTTATTTATAACTTTTTAAATTTTGGATTTATGATAAAAGTTAAATAGACATAATCGTAGACACAGCGATTTGCTACAAAATGTGTCTTTAAAGTTTTATACGATAAGTTTAGGAGATATAGCCAAAAACGAGTTTTGGACCCTTTTATCCAAGATGCGGCCGGGGACAAGCACGCCAACCCCACAACTTGGTAAGCTTGACCTATGACCCCCTAATTCCAAATTTCCTCTAACGCAACCCAAATGTAACTTAATGGACTACTAATTTCGCTTGGGAGTTTGTTGTAAATACGAATCTCATTATCTTCTAAAAATATTTCAGAAACCGTCGGATAATGGCCGTCTCTCTGTATGTACGATAGACCGAAAAGCGAGCATTGTATCTTCGATATACCAAGACGTATCACCGACGAAGCCGCGGGGGAATATTAGTCCGGCTCCGTCTCAACAGAGTTTTAATGAACAGGAAGGGACCAAAGTAATGCGAGCCGAGTCCATGAGGAATCCAGGTTTGAGCTATTTTTGGACGATATTAAAAATATAAAAAAAACATTTACAGTCAAACCTGGGTAAGTGAGAACTGGATAAGTGAGAAAACTCTATAAGTGAGAGTAATAGCCGGGACCCGTCATTTTAAGCTCCCAAAACCTTTATTAGCGAGAAACAGATACCTCTGTAAGAGTGAGTCGTTTTTCCCTCATGCACCTCCGTAAGTGAGACTGCTACTTATCTTTACCTCTATAAGCGACAGTCGGGCTTAATTTATAATATGTACTTTAGATGCGTTAGAGACGGTCGCACTTGCTGTGACTTGTTATTGCTGCGTACCTCTATAAGAGAGAAACGCTACCCATATACCTGCATTAGCGAGAAACTCGGTTTAGTGAGAAACCTTTATAAGCGAGAATGAGATTGTGCTCCCTTGAACTCTCGCTTATCCAGGTTTGACTGTATTTATATAGGTACATTTAGATAGTTAATGGTCTCAACATCCCTAATGCACTAAGACCAGCTGAAGATAGAGTGGAGTGAAGGCAGCAAGTCGACGTATCGTTTAGGGCTTTTCAAGACAGTCACGACCTTCAGAAATGAAGATTACGAAGAAGAAGTGAAGACAAGGGTTGCTTAGTAGGGAAATTGGTTATATTCAATTGTGTATGCTATCTATTCTAGTAACAAAGTATTAATATATATAAAAAAAATATCCTTATAGCTTCTAATTGACCCTTCAAAAAATTTCAGGTAGATAGGACAATTATATATTTTGTGATCGTAATAAAATAATTGTTAAACTTCCAGATCTTAGCAGACGAGCTTCAGTAAAAGTAGACGGACACAAAACTGTGGCTTTTGAGAATAACAATACTGCTAATCCAGGAGACACTTTGGGCAATGGCGCTTTTGTTAAACCTAAAAGTAGGAGTGGATCCATCATTGGAGCTATTAGTCCAATAATAGGAACTGGTAAGATGGAATTCGATGTTCATACGAAGCTTATACTTGGTAGGAGGCTGGAAGTAATGCTTTTTAATATAGATGCAAATAATGCTTTGTTTGGAGTATTGTAAAATGTATCTATATATTTGCTACTTTGATGTTAAGAACTGTCTTGCTACAATTTAATAATAAAGTAATTTCTGAACAAAATCTCTAATCTTGCTAGAATTTTAATTATGTTAGAGTGTAACAAAGTATTTATGCATATAAACCTATTATAAACATTTGGTCCCTACTAAGTTCCCCTCGTGCAGCATTACGGTGTTCCAGTTAAGGACAATGCCAGTACTGTTGTAATTTATTTATATATATAATTATTTATTAATTTTTGTTTAAAAGAGCGCAAGTCGGATACACCGACACCAACCAAGGAGCACTCGGCGCCGATATTCACGCGAATGTTGAGCACAATTTCTATGGATTCTACTTGTTAGTTGTAAATGCACGTTTTTATTTTTTTAACATCACTTCCATTATTTACTCCATGACTTTTGGATCACTCATAAAGATTTAATTTTTAACATCTATTTTCTGAAGGACTTTCAAATACTTAATGGGAAACTTTTATATATTTAGCTGATTTTTATTCCTTTAATTTTTAGAATTTATTTATGTTATTCTATATATGTTTAACGTTGAACGCTTAACGTTTTAATTCAATTATTTGTTTTTTGAGGTTTAAACATGGACTTCCATGGGAAGAGGACTTCATTAAAACTTTAATGTTTCTAAGTACTTTACGTTGATTTTTTTTCATATCCACTTGAATATGTCATTTCAACTTGAAATTGAGATTTTTTCACATTTCGTAAGTTATTATTATATCATTCCTTACGTCATCTCAACTACATTAAAATATTGAATTATTCGTTTATTCAAGAATTTCAAAAGTAAGTTATTTTCCTTTCTTTGTAATCTGAGAGTTACTAGAACTAAAAGTCTTCTATACGTACCTATGGCTCGCTTATCTGCAACTTTTAATGGTCCAGTGAATTATGTAAGTTATCTTCAACCAAAATTTACCTTAAAACAAGCATGGGAGGCATTCTGAAAATTCTCAATTTGAAGAGATCCATATTTTACACAGAATTTTAAATATAATTAAAATAATTTAATTGTTATGAAAATGGTTCCAGCAATACCTGGCGTTCCGAGTAGGTCGCGGCCGTCAAGCAAAATGACAAAGTATGTGGAGTGTTGGGGCGCCGACAAACCTTTTGCAAATATTACTGATTCGACTTTAGCCAAAAATATTGGCATTTCGGTAAGTAATATTCTGTTTTATTACTTTTATATTTTAGATTCTTGATTATATTGATAAGAATCTATTGCGAAGGTCGTAAAGTTCTTGTTCTAATTTTGTTAGAAATTATTTTGGATTATTTTTAAATTACTGTGAATTCAGCCACTTCATTGTATTTTCAGTGCACTTCAGTAGAAAATATTAATGTAAATGTATGTATCTGTAGATGTAACGTCAAAAAAAATTAAATGCTGCTAATTTTACATTTACTGCCAGTTCTCAAAGCAAGGGCGTAGAACGGAAGAGAAGAACTGGCAATAAACTAAAGGCCGTAGAAGAGTTAGGTGGAACTTTGTAATGGAAATTTCAAAAAGCCAACTACGATGTGTTGTTTTCGGATTATTAAGTTACTGTAGTAATATAAAATAAGGAAATAAATAAATATTAAATTATATTGTAATTCTTTGGTTTACCGTAAACATATCTCATTTATATAGTTTTACGATTCTGTATTTGATTATTATTTATGATTTCAGAGTCTGGCTATGATCGAGCAAAATCTACTCCCACAAAGAACGTGTTGCGATTGCAGGTAGTTTTAACTTTATTAAATTGTCTTAATCTTTATGCGATCGATCCAATCTTTGACACATTAACAGTTACAACCTGTAAGATGTCTATGACATCGTGTTCTCTTATTACATTATCTCTGTCATACATACGTTATATAATGATCAACGGTTCTTATTTAGATTAACAAAATCTATTTTATTTATTCACAAAAATAAATACACTATCCTCACAGTAGTTAAACCAATACGGCAATGTCGAAAAAAGAAAGAAATAGATAATATTAAATACATAAGATACACAAAATCGCTGCTATGATCTCACTCTGCGAACATATAATCTCGATATTGTCGGAGACAGCATTCAGTGGGCAACGTCTTTAAGGGGACTTAAAGACGTTTACTACTTTAACAGACTAGTTCTGGCCCGAGGTACTAAGAAACCGAGTTCTTGGAGAATACTTGGGTTGTTGTTGTTTTTCATGCGAAGGCCAAGCAGACGAGTCTCTAATCTAGTTGGAAAAGTGTAGACTTCTAGAATATAGGTATTACAGACTTTTATAAAATCAAAATTAAAAAAAAAAGATACATTTTTAATTAATTTTAAAAGAACTAAACACGAATTCAAAAAATCATATATTAATTTTTTTTCGAAGTTAAAGCAAATTATTTTCTATTAATAGAATGTATTTTTCCAGCACTAATTCAGAAGGCATGAGCCGAATTACCTTATGGTTCAAAAATAGGTCTCAAGAGAATCAATATCGCAGTCAACCAGACACACTGTTCAAATATTATGTGGCCTGCGCGTGCGCATTATTTCTCTTATTGGCATTTATACAACTGATAACATTACCTAAGTAAGTTTTAACATTAAAGTATTCTAGAAGTTTTTTTGGGCTGATATAATTTTGTGTCGGCTTTTTTAATGAGACGATCCTTGGCCTAATGGTTTTAACGTGCGACTCTCATCCCTGGGGTCGGAGGTTCGATTATCGGCTGTGTACCAATTGACTTTCTGTCTGTACGCTCGTACGGTGGAGGAAAATATTGTGAGGAGACCTTAGACCCAAAAAGTCGACGATGTGTGTCAGGCAGAGAAGGTTGATCACCTACTTGCCTATTAGAAATGATCATGGAACAAATACTGAAATCTGAGGCCCAGACCTAAAAGGTTGTAGCGCCATTGGTATATATTGGTTCATTAATGAGTTGTTTAAGATAAGTATTATTTTGTGGCTAAGTTCCCCGCTGAAATATTTAAAGATTCAGCATATAGGGCTGATGTTTACCACAATGTGAAAAAAACCGTGAATAAAACAATTGAAAAATTGTGCCAGCCCTGTGTGCTATTTCTACACTTTAAAACAATGTAATAGGAGATAAACGGGCAGTAGGCTCACCTGATGTTAAGTAATACCGCCGCCCATGGGCACCCACATTGCCAGAAGGCTCGCAAGTGCGTTGCTGGAAATTACAGCGCTTCCTATTAAGAGATTGTAAGTGTGAACTGTGACAACTATCTAAAGCGCCAGCTTTAGATAGTTGTCACAGACTTTAAAATGAGAAACGAGGGAGATACTCTTAGAAGTTATGGAAATCAAAAACAAAATCTTATTTGTTAAACCGTACCTGTGGCAGATGTATTGATCTCTTTCTGTTTGCTGGACTAGAAAGAGATCAATATATATGAAACTGGACTTAGGGCAAAATATAAATGACATTTTCTATTTCCAGAGGTATTGTTCTGTACGCATCATTTGGCCCTACGTTGCTAACGTTAATCGTGTTTTTGTACTTGTCGTGGTATGACGGACAATTCCCTTCAAGGGGGATGCATCTTCTATCGGATGTCCCGGATATTTATTCAGACAACTGTACTAAGCCTGGACAGGTAAAAATTATATTAACTCAACCACAAATTAAATTAAATTAATTAAATTTATTACGAATAAGTATTGCAATATAGTACGGAAATGCTTCCAGCGATAAAGGTGCACTGCCAGTGGGACCCAACTTTTTAAATTTGTTTTAATTTTTTAAAAAATTCCAAACTGATGTGTCCCGTCTCTTTCATCATAGCGTAAACACAATAAGACAGAAAGAGACGTAAGCGTACTTTCAAAGAGTGCAATTAGACTTTACGACTAAGTAAAAACTGTACAATTTAACTCGTCAAAAATGACAAAAATTTTAATTATTGCCAATTCTCAAATCAATAGAACTCTTTACTAACCATTATTATGTATAAGCTTTAGTATTTGATACAGTGTTTGATATCAAATACAGTGACAGAAGTTCAATTATAGTAGTTAATTATGCCTGATGAAGATTTTTGACAAGATGACAGAATCAATGAAACAGCAGCAATGTGTCTTAAGCCCAATTCGAGGACTGTGTGCGTACATTCAACAAGCCTTATTTTACGTAATTTTAGACTGAAAAATCTAAAAAAATAATTATTAAACATAACTTAAATTATTGATATATTTTTCCAGGTGGTTGCCAGTAACAGCTACATAAGATTGACAATGTTTTTAGTATCAGCAGTTTTAATCGGCGCCTGCGCAGTTATTAATCTTGTAAGTTTAATTTTTAAGCTATTTTTATATACGCATAAACATGCGTTCTTTTATGATTAATTAATTTATATAAAGAAAATATTGGTAGGTTTTCCGAGCCCCAACGCATAAAATATTTTATTATCCGTTTTCATGAAATATTGTTTCGGATTTATTACTAACGAAACAAACACACACAATAATAATAAAAATAATTAAAAAAAAAACAAAAAAAATTATAGAAAGAAAAAGAAGGAATAAGGTACATTTTAAGTGTGTAATGTGTGTGTGTTGTGGTTGAAACTGGCCCTGGCTCAGCATTATGCTGTGGAGCAAACGTGTTCTACAGCGCTGGTCATTCTGCCAGAGACCACAACAGGTAGTTTGCGCCTCAGACGCAAAGAAATAGATAAGATAAAACCTTTCTTAATAGGTATGAAAACTTTTTCAATTTGAAACAGCAGCTCCTGAGATTATTTCAAACAAATAAACTTGTATGCGAACTATATAAATATAGAAGAAAAATAATATTTCAGTTCCAAACATATCTGATCCAAGAATTTCCGACAGAAGTCTGGGTGAAGAATTACACTAGTGAAAATGGGACGAATATCACAGGAATCACAATTAATATCGATGTTGAATCCGCTCCGGTATGTAAATTATTAAAAACTAATATTAAAAGATTTCTTTAATAAGTTGGCGCCTGGTAGATAGTACCGGTGACCCCAGAGTTGGTGCTTTCCTTGTTCAACGAATAAGTATTGCAATACAGCGAGGAAATGCTGCCAGCGTTAAAGGTACACTGCCACAGAGACCAAACTTTTTAAGATATAAATATGAATTTTGCAAAGAAAGTGGTACATTCAGTGATTAATTATAACAAAAAAAAACCGCACAATCAGTTATATAAATTTAGGCATGCAATCATATTAATTATCATAATGTCATAAATACGAACAGTTAAGTTATTTATAACTGTTGTCAAAAATTATGGACTAATACTCTTCCTTTAAAGACACCTTGCCTTTAAAATTGAATCACCTTCCCCTTGAAAGCATAACATGGCGGTGAGCTTCTAGGAAGGTGATTAAATAGTTTGATAGCCATGGCGTAACTATTCATTTAAAACAAATTTCAATTTGTTTTATCGTTCTATTTATCAATTTTTAATTATTATTATAACTATGTAGGTTGAGAATATTGTAATTACTGTTCGTGTGTTGGAAATAAATAATCAAATATCCCGAGCTATCAAACTGCTTGTAAGCTGTAGAAAATACATTTGTACGAACCCAGATTGTACATTTTGTTCAGTTAGGCTTTCTTAGTTTTATAAGCGTGGCGAGTCGGAGTTACGTTCCAAGAGTATAGCTAGACACAGGCACTCTCCTTAACAGTTACACTGCATTCATTCGTTTCAGAGCAATTAATATTTAATTACTTCGCATATTATATTCTATTCTTGTACGCAAGTAGTTAATTATAGTGTAAAAGCAAAATCCTCTATTATTTAAAGTACCCTGATGACACAGGAACCGTACAAAATCGTATTAACAATCATTAAGTTTAATTTAAATGCCTTGACATACCGTAAGCAATTTGTATATCTTTCAGAGTTACCTCTACAGCTCAGTACTAACTCTAGCTTCAATATCCGTATTTCTTCGAATCGGATTTGTTCTGAAACTTGTTCTGATGGTAGTGACTCTGGTAACACACATCACACTTTTCGCCTCCGCGGAACTGTTCAGTCAGTACCAGTACCGGGATTTTGATAGCGAGTAAGTATTTCTATTTAATTTTAGGTTACAAGAATGTGTGAATGTGAAACTTTATTAATATTATTTATCCTATCTAAATTTGTAATACCGAATTGTCTTGCTTAAAGAGTACTGATAAATGAACAATAAATTCTCCATGGAAATACGAATGTAATATAAAACTTGAATACTATAGATAAAAAAAATAGAACATGTAAATTTAATTGCCTTTAAATTTTTTCCGGATCGAAGGATCAATATCTATCGACATACATTGATATGGAATTCAGAATTTTTACTCATTATTTTTAACTGTCATATGCACTATACATGTTATGTATATGTTGGGAAGTCGTTTCATAGAATTTACTTCAAGATATTTCCAGATTCTCAATGCTTCCATATTCAGCCAAAGCGGGCCTAGTACTAGTCTTTCTAGCGGCACTTTTACACATACTGGACAGGCAAATAGAATTCACTTCTCGAACCGACTTTTTATGGAAAGACAAGCTAAAATTTGAGCAGGAGGAAGTCGAGACTATGAGAGGAATTAATAAGGTACACTTAAATTTAAAAGAAAGTGTTATTCATAATAATAATAAACACTTTTATATTTGTCTCATTCTTTTTAGGTATCTGTGTCCTTTTTTGTCTACTCCTGTCTACACTGTGCCACTCTCTGTCATGTCCACCTGCTGTTTCCTTAATTTGTTTATTGTACCTGACAAGTGATTTAAATAGTTTTCTTTGTTATATGATAGGACTAGAATTAAACAACTTTAAAGAACATTGATATTTTTGTTAATGAAATTAAAATTTCATTGGATCAGATTAGTTCATAGTATAGGTTAAAAGCAAAATAAGTACACATCTAAAAACCACATAATTATTTAATTTTTGTTTATTAGATTTTTTTTAAATGAGTATTAAAGTGTGGCTCTTCGTATCTTTAGTTGCACTGTGGATTTTTTAAATTAAAAATAAAGTAAAAATTTTAAAGATTTGACTACATGGTCAAACCAATAATATATCGATAAAAGTCAAGTGTACATAATATAATATATAATAATAACTATTAATAATTAATCATAATACTCAATTACAACCTAAGTTAATTTAGCTAAGTTTACTCTTTTTACAGATTTTACTAGAAAATATTCTCCCTGCTCACGTCGCTCAACATTTCTTGACTTCAGTTGCTTCAAAGGTAATTTATATATTTTTGTATCATATTCATTTCTATAAGTAAGTGCTCTTCTCAGGCCTTAGACGTGATTTCTTTGGACTGCCCACATATATTCGCTAGACATTTTTATTTTTAATCGGGAATCGAACTCGAAGCTTTAGGGCTATAAGAGACCCGCACGCTATCGACTTAATTATTTGTAGATTTATTAACTATGTACTTTTAATTATAAACTTCAATCCGGTAAAAAAGTGTTTTCTTTTAACTATTGTACTTTCAAAAATAGTGATTTCATTTCGTTAATTTTTTTATTACTAATGTATAGGAGGAATTATACCACGAGCGTTACTCGAGTATAGCGGTTATGTTCGCTTCGATTCCCAACTACAAAGAATTTTACGATGAGACAGACGTCAATAAACAGGGATTGGAGTGCTTGAGGCTGCTCAACGAGATTATTTGCGATTTTGATAAGGTAAGATTTTAAATCAGTCCTATCCTAATATAAAATTTAGTTTTCCAAAGAATAAACCCTTATTAATATTTTATTACCACTTGACAAAGTCCCATTAGAGGATTATAGGATTTATTGTGTCAAATTTAAACAAATAATTAAGCAAAACCCTATCCAGTCCCAAGGATCCGACCTTTTATTTTATGAAATAAACAAAACTGCATTCAAACTTTTTAAACAACTTGCCCCGGGTATCCAACCGTAACCTCTTCCACCGGCTTCTGTTCAGCTTGTTCACCTTAACTTGGTTGGATCTTTGTCTTCTGTGTTACCAACCTCTCTCCAAGTTCTCATCGCCTCTGCGCATTGTATAGCCGAAATGAGATATAATTCACTGTCGGCATATGGAAGAGAGGCGACTCCGAATGCGGAGTTGGATCTGGATCGATATATAGGTGCGCTTCACGCGAGCTTATGTAACTCGCGATAAATAAAATAAAGTCGGTCACCTGCTGGCGTTCCCAAATAACTGTCCAGAGGGGAGTGAGTATGTAAAACGTCCGTCGGGTGTCGTTTGATTCTGATTGATTGATTGATCTTTTGATCTTTAGCTCAATCACAGATGAGCGACACAATTCATCGTTTCGTTGGACAATTTCAAACAAAACATGCTTAAGTATATTATTTTCAACTGAAATTATATATACAATAAGTAATTTTGTCGTGTCGTTAACAAATTAGTGTTATGAATAATTTTGGTTTCAGTTATTATTGAAACCCAAATTCAGCTGTATTGAGAAGATTAAGACAATTGGTAGCACTTATATGATCGCATCTGGACTTAGACCGGGGAAAGAAGAACCCACCGTAAGTATTAAAAACTGTAGGGTAACTCTCAGAAGGAAGTTTAGGAAGGAACAGTTCTTCACCCAGTCTAAATTGACGTGTTTGAAGTGATCTTCAGAGATCGGAAATACTATATTAGCGCAATTCAGGATATGACGTCATTGTACTGATATAGTAGAACTTAGTTTCATATCCAATATGGTTTCATTTTTTTTATCTCTTGTGTTGGTTATATTTTTTGCCTACATTACATTAAATATTAAATTTTATATTCTTGTACCAATGCTGATACATTTGCTGAGCGTTGGCAAGCTTAAGCAAATAAATATATTTAATTAATTTAAAAAAAGTTATTTAATTTTTCAATAATATTTATGGAGATTTTCAAATAAGTTTGTCTAAATTTAATTGTATCGTCATTACTGAACCGAGCATCCGTGATGGCTAGTTCACTTAATCTTTGAACTAAACGTCCTAGTTTATTATGTATAATAAAGTTTTTACTTTCTTCTTTAGGACGCAAGCCGGAGAGAAGAACACACAGTTGCCATTTTAGTTGAGTTTGCATTCGCTCTCATGACTATACTGGAACAGATCAACCGAGAATCCTTTCAGAGATTTAAACTGAGGATAGGTATGTAGACATCACCTGATTAACACACATTTAAACAAACTTTTATGAGTAAACTGAAAAGTGTATTAAATATATATCACAGCGGATTTTATTTTTTACTAAGTATGCGGCGTTATTTGGTTGTCATAGTAACGTACCTTAAACGTAACCTTAAAAATAAAAATAATTAAACATTAACAAAAAGTTTTGTCGCTGTGTTGTGATACTTATTCGTTGAGCGAGGAAAGCACCAGCTCTAGGGTCACCGGTACTATCTACCAGGCGCTAATTAACTAATTATTATTTATTTAATCACTATGTAGGTTAAAAAATTGTAAATACCTGTATATTTGATTGTTATGCATCGGTTTTAATAAACGGTATTGAGTATTATTAGACTTTAATATTGTATAATTGTACCATTATTATTTAAAATTGTAAAACTATTTCAATTATTAGTCACCATCATATTTTTAAACCTTTAGGTCTAAACCACGGCCCAGTAATAGCCGGAGTAGTGGGCGCTCAAAAGCCCCAATACGATATTTGGGGTAATACAGTGAATGTTGCCTCTCGGATGGACTCCACGGGCATGATGGGACGGATACAGGTCACAGAAGATACCGCTAAGTAAGTATCCTCTACATACATGTCACAGACAGACATTTGCGTCATTAAGGAATAGTTATTGTAATAGAATATTAACAATAAAGTTTTATGTAGACACTTGGGCGGCCCTCACGTATTTGAAACTAAGCAAAACACAATATATAGTCAACTTTCGTTAATTCAAACCTCTCAGTATAACTCAAAGTTATCACGTATAAGTTCCTTACGAAATATCTTTATATTTCGAACTAAATCAATTCATTTTTAATGCACTTGGTAAATCGAATGTAAAAATCCGCGACGCGTTAATTTGAACTCATCGGCGTCCAACACTCGACAACTCAAAGTTTCTCTTAAAAAAAGTTATTGAACAGTCTGAGCAGCAGCAATGTGCTTTGAAGGAAACCGTATAACCGAGTTCTTTCGATATATTAATTAATTAACATTATGAACATATATGTACACGAATGTACCTCTAAACTTTTGACATTGTTATAGAATTGCAGTTAATAATTTATAATTAATAAGAAAGAATTCGAATTCTCTCACAAATTTCAAACCATTTGATATTTCAAACACTCGATAATTCGTAATATTTTATGTGCCTCGTACGAACACGAATTATTTTTTATTTATTTAGCTAACTATAAAACAATTTAAGAAGATGTAGAGATTTTCCACTTCACCAATGAAGGTGTTAAGACATATTTTAGGAAGCGGGAAGACTTTGGCTTTATTTAGCAGTAGTAACAATATATTTTTATTTAAATATTAAGTTGTTAACGTTTAATTTCAGTTTTCTTTTTTTATTAATGTATATTCATATTTGTTTAACAATGTAATTTAGGCCTTGTATATTGTCTAAATGTTTCCTTTTCTATAATATGTAGATGTGTAATGTAAGAATACTTATAAATAAATAAAATAAAAATGTAGAGCAATACACTTTTAATAAACATTGCGACGCATGTTCTATAAGGCGTTTTAATTTTCAGAGTACTAATGAATGCCGGCTACACTTGTGAATGTCGTGGTCCCACATTCGTTAAGGGCAAGGGGACTTTAGTTACATACTTCGTAAAGACACCCAATGCTGGGAGTGGATTATGAATACTCAAATGTGATTTTACAATACTCATTAGAAATTATATAAGTTTATTGCCAGTATTTTAAATGTTTTCGCTCTATTATTTAATATATCAAAAAGTGCGTGCGTACAAAGTACACATGTCAGAAGTGAAACTTCTTTGGCAAACTAATTTTTAAGTCTTGTTCATATTTATACAAATCTAAAACTTTAGATTTCCGAGACTTAGAGGGAGGGAAAAAGGGAAGTTATGTTGGGAATTTAATTAATTTAATTGTCATTAAAATATTAAAAGTGTCGAAAATCAATACAAATTGTAAATTTAATTTTTTAAATTTATTTCTTCGACAATAAAAATATTAAGTTTTTAAAAACACGTGGTCTTTTAATTTACAATTCGACATTTGAGATTTCAATAAATTATTTTGCATAAAATATGAAATACTAATTTTTCATACAATGTCTTTACAAAATTTTAATAATAGAATTTATATAAGGTTATTCGCCCTCTCACTCTCTCTCAATCGGTCTCATTAGCTCTCTCCCTTTTCTTCGACAAAAACGCTGCACATCTTCGTGACGTTTCACCCGTAAAATTTTTACCCTCATGAGCCTAAAGAAGTTTTACTTCAAAAATCTGTTAGCCACATTAATACTCTTTGTGCATATGAAATAAAGATCGAGACTTGTGTATGACAATTTTCTTCGTAGTCTTTGTTGTTGTCTTGTGTTGTTTAATATTTCACGAACGTTCCTTACATATTTCACGACAAACCACTAATTCACATATTTTTATATATTAATATGTCATTTTTACTAACCAGTCTAAAATCAATACTATCCATTCAGAGTGTAGACTGTTATTTGTTTTAGTTTAATTATTAACTTAAATATAATTTCGTTGATTTAACATTGAAATTAATATGACTTTAGACAAAGGCTACTTACAGTACCTACTACGTACACAAGTTGTGTAACTGAGCGTTTGTGGAACCAGCTGCTACTGAAGTATTTCCGAACCAATTCGACTTAGGGTCCTTCAAGAAAAGAGCGTACGAATTCTTAAAAGGCCGGCAACGCACTTGCGAGCCTTCTGGCTATGTGAGTGTCTATGGGCAGCGGTATCACTTAACATCAGGTGAGCCAGCCCGTTAGCCTCCTATTACATAAAAAAACACGATACTTACGTACGTAACTTATACATGACGTATATATACATATAGATTATATGTTAAGAGTTTTATGCCGTTTGTAGAAAAATATATAGAAACTGAATTATGTTAAGATTCACAAACTGATATATTTTTGTAAAATATAATTTATTTAATTTTTAGGATTTATATATTTTTTTATTTTTGTGGAGAACCCTGTTGTATGCGTTTTAAGACAATTTAAGTATGATTTAATAAGACTGTAAATAATATTAGTTTAGCAGTAGGTCGACCCGTATTGCCGTTTTTATGATACTTATTTCAATTACGTTTATTATATATAATATTGTACATTATATATAAGTAGTACAATCTAACTATTAAAATATTGCATTTCTCTTTAAACTATGTCTGAAAGTTTTCTTAATCGAGGTACATTTTAAATGATATTATCTCTACAATTGTAATTAACTAAAATAATGCTCAGTAGAATGTTTACAAATGTATTTGATTGTTTAAGAAGATTCACCAAATGTATCGCCTAATATAGAAATATTTAACTGTCGAATGCCTAATAAAAATAAATATATTTTAAAGGCTATTTTGGTTTCATTAATATACAGTATTTACCTTTCTTGACCTACATACTAGTAATAATAATTATGAAAAAATTAAAATAAATTTTAAAAGTTTAGGCCTAATTTCAAATTTGAATTAAAGATATCGACATACATTTAGTTAGTTTTATTTATTAACTTTGTGTGAGTTAATACTTTAATATTTTTTTATTAAAAACATATACAATTAAACGTTTATGTAGTTAAGTAAGGTCTTAAAACACTTGTGTCAGACTATTAAACATATTTCATACAAAAATATAAGATAGTATACATTTGAATTTTCTTTGCCTTCAAAACTGTCTCTGACTGAAAGTGTGTCTGTTGCATTGATTCTCTTTCCTTATAAACAAATAAGGGATCATTTTGTTCCATCGTGGACAAAACCGATATAAAGAACTGACCCCTAGACGAACCCTATAGTCGTACCTATTGCCTATTGCTAATAATAATAAAAGAAACCTGTAACCAAATTTATAACAGGCAGTTACAAATTTCATATATTGTGACAATTACGTATACATTTTCCCGAAGTGCAGCAAGGTTTGAATTTGAAATTCGAATTTCGTACGAGGCGTTTAATTGGTAATTGCGGGTTGCGGCCACCTACGCAGATGATTTATTTCAGATACGCCTCAGAATATAGAGTATTGTTTATCTATATCTTTGACCTCAGTAATATATTGTTTCGCTTAATTGAAATACACCAAAATGGTTATGACGCGTCGATTTTAATGTGTCGATCCGTCACCTTCACAGTTTCTGATGTTATATGTTATTAGCATATAACAAGTCGTTGGTGACAAATTGTTCAATTTTAATGTAATTACAATGTATGCTTAAATATCCTGAATATATGAGGACTTATACAAGTAATACTAAAGAAAAATATAGTCTACCTTTCGGGTAATATTCGTATATTAAAATTTGCCTTAGCAATTTAATCTAAAAAATTATTGAGTCCTTATCTCCTACGTAAGAACTTTTTTTTATTGGATATGCAAACGACCCTTTGGGACGCCCAAAAAGAGCAGTCATCGCAGCTCATGGACACTTTCAGTAGGTGCATTGCTGGCCTTTGAGGAATGAGTATATAATAAATAAAATAAATAAATAAAATAGCCTTTGTTGCTGTTTCTATCTTACAATAATACTATTATTAATACATCCTAACATAATTACTTTCTAAATACTTTTCTACTAAATTAAATTTAAATTACTTTCGAAGTACTTACTAAATTAAATTGGTTTAATCATTGTATGTTCGGCAACTGGATGTTTGTCTAGAACAGCTTGTCTGTCGACAAAGGCCTCCTCTAAAGATTTCCACGTATTCCTGTCTTTTGCTAAACGAGTTCATACCGGACCAGATATTTTGTTGAAGTCGTCTTCCCATCTTTTCGTTTGCCTACCTCTTTTTCTTCTGTTATTTCTTATCTTTAGAGGGTCGTGGTCATTTTTTTGGGAATGAGTATAATCTTACTTAAAACAATTGGAGATCGCGTCCCCCACTGGGAGTCGATTCCACAGTTCGCGAAAGAAAGTGTCTTCTGTAGCGGACCGTGGAAGACTTCCAGCCATCAAGGTGATGCTTATATATGTTATTTATTAAATTAAAAAAAAACTATAATAAAAATTGAACTTAATTTAAACCAACTGTAAAGTAGGTATATTTCTATATAATCTTTAGACTGTAACAAAACGTACGCCTGTCAATATGTAGATTAATCGTTATACTATTCGAGAATTGTATTGAGTTTAATTACAGACTGTTATAATTTACAACGCCTTAGAAAAATAATTATTGGTTTTGAACGTAGACAATTTAATAGAATATTATACTATACGTTACCTTCCCAAATCGGGTAAATTACTTAGATGTATGTTGATAGTATTCTCACAGAATTTTATTTTACTGTACTAGCCGGTAGCTAAACCCATGATCTTTGAAGAAGTTTTGTTGGAAGGTTAATAGTTTATTTATATTAAATTAAAATTAATTATTTATTTAATTACGCTTCGTTACATTTATAGAAAAACAAATAACACATAATAATTATAAGAGATGCATCGGGCGGCGTTATCGCTAACAAACGATCTCTTCCAGGCAATCCTAGTAAGAAAAAAGACTAAAAAAATAAATATGATGGGTAAAGTGCAAGAAGTGCATAACCAAATCTAATTAAAAAATATATATAAACACCAACCTTAATCTAAAATAATAAATATTATGGTGGATTATGGATTGAGATAGGTTATTGGGTTCGGGCGAAAATATCCCTTATATTTACTAGTCAACCGTATATATACTGCAGTGGGTTGGTAGGGATTTGTACTATACTTTAATAGTCTGGATGATCGTTAGGTTGAGTTATTAAAACAATTTAATAAAATCATATCCGTCAGAGAATTACAATTAATTGTATTAAGTTCATATAAGTTTTTATTTTGTTTGCTTATATTATATCTGTTCCTCAGTGTAGGCGATACGTGAATCGATATCTACGTTTTAATAAATAGAAAACTACAATTCCCTCCAAGCTAATAAATTCAGCTTTATTGCTGCTGGCGATTGCAGAGCTTTTATAGATAGAGGTTTTTTAAAGACAAGATTTTTAGTAATTACGTTTACCAAATTGTTTCCAATAATTTACTTATAGTACAAATAAACTTTGAGTACAACAACAGTAGATACATATTGAATGAGATGTAAACTCAATCCGAACTTATAAAAGTAATTTAAGTCCAATAAATCTATAATAGCCGTTTTTGATATAGAGTACACTATAACCTGATATAGAGTCCTTTAAAAAGTCGTACCAGCTTCAAAATAAAAGCAACGCGGTAGCTGAGTTTCAAAGAATTTGAAACAATTCAGTCAATATGCACTACATTATAGTAGCCACCAGATATAAATCTTTTCTATGGGAGATTTATTTATGAATTTCGTTATTTTAAAATGTCTTGTTTTACATTCATAATGTACGAATCTGTTATTCACTTACTCTGTGGTTTCACTGTGGAGTGTGACAATACACCGCCACTAATGTCAGATTAGCGCCCCCTACCGGCCACCGGTGTTACATTATGACTTTATTATACATTCGCATTGCCCTCTACTTACTCTAATTGGACGAAACGTCGATTTAGTACTGTTTGAATTCTAGGAAGCAAAACATTGTTTATGTGTATTCATAGTTATTGTATAGCTAAGCACACTACTGCAAAGTTGGGATCAAAATCCCAGGTTAATCC